TGTTTTCTAAAGATCATTTTTTCAAGGACTAATCAACTTAAATGTGTTTTTACAAATGTTCCATCTGCAATTTCACACAAAATCCTGACCTTCAGCATGTACCAGGGAAACGAATTATGTACTTGGAAGGACAAACAAGCAGATCCTTCTTCCTCTGCAAACAGCGCCCCATTCTGACCCCCTTTCCCCTGGAGTGCAGTGTCCAAGAGATAGGGAGAGTATACGCTTCTGTATTACCATCCTTTTTCATAAAGTAAAGATAGAGATAACATTTTAGATTTAATTATAAGTTATTACTGCGGCAACAATTTAACATTAAATCCTAAAAATGAACTTTGCCACACTCTATTCTAATTCAGAGTCCTCTTGCCAGACTTGAAAAAAGTTTCAGCACAAACGTCAGTATTAATCTTTTTTTTCCTATGATTACCTTAAGCAGGAGATATCAGGATGGCCTAAGGGCATGACTCTAGGGCTTTTATTTCAGACTTTCAGTAATAATCTCAATTTTAAAAGGTACCATGCCTTGTAAGTATACCCTTAGTTATCCTCTTATTAAGTCTTGAAGTTTGACCTAGAAAACTAAAGAATAAAAAATGCATAAGGGCCAAATCAGAGTGGTCTCAAGCAGAATGTTTACAAATGTTGTTTCAGACACTAAATATTGCACACATCTTAGTTGAGAGATAAAAATCACTACTCTCCTTCTGAAAGAAGGAAAAATGCTCGGAAATCTGTGCTAAATTTTAAGCAAGGACTTTTCAAACAGAGAAAATAAAGCTCAATGTCACTTAACAAACGTTCTATTTCAAAAGATAAAAAACAAGAAATCTAGAAATGGACAGAGCCCAGGAAATGAACCTAGATCATTTTTTATAAAGTCCTTCCAAGCTGTGTTGATTTATTTCAGCTTGACTAGAAACCAAACAAATTAGTTTGTGTTTTATGAAAAAGAGACAATGCTACCATTCCAAGTGTTAACTCTGAAGATGTGAAACCAGAGAAATTACTGCCATGGATCTTGGTGCAGTAATTTTCTTTCAAAGCCACAAAATCTCTTACTGAAATTGTTCAAGGCTCACTGTTATTTGTGGAAGGCTAGCTTTTCATATCACCTAGATTCGCTCTTTTACATTCCAAACTGTCCATATTTCTAGAGGTGATACAAGATTACTTACAAGTTACAAAGTCCCCTAGAAACATTTACTTACTTGAGTTATGCAAATTTCAAAAGGTAGTTAATATTAAGTTTCAAAATTTCAAAAGTTAAAAATCACAAGGAAAATGCTCCAATGTACAAAACAAAAGTGATAAAAATCATTTTCAAATAGCTGTTAAGAGCAAAAAAAGAAAAGGGGGAAGATTAATTCCTTTAAGTCTTAAAAAGAATAGGACAATACCTTCTTTTAAGCAAACCAATCCTGTCAATCTATAAAGGCTTGCCAAGACAAAGCCTTAGGAAGCCTTAAGGCATCTTGGCCCCCTGCTATCAGAGGCTGGAAAGAGGACAGCTAATTTGCCAAACTCCAAGACCAGGAACCAGAAGTCTATTAGGGGTAGGGGGCTGAAAAATGTTTGCTGAAGAGTATGAACTATATCAGAGCATGGAAGACTAAGTTAAATCCTAAATAAGATGCTACCCTGAAGTAACTTTTGCAATGCTGAGACTGAGAAAGAAGGGACTAAATTTGAAAGTTATTTTTTAAAAGGATCCACATGACCCTAGCTTGCTAAATGAAATAAAGTCAAAACTACCTGATACACAAGAAACAAGAAAGGAAACTAGCCTACAAAACTGCAGGCAAAGACTGAAAACCTTTTTTAAAACTCAGTTTCAGGGGCGCCTGGGTGGCTCAGTCGTTGAGTGACTGCCTTCAGCTCAGGTCACGATCCAGATCTAGCCCCGCATCGAGCCCCCGCATGGGGCTCCCTGCTCAGCGGGAAGCCTGCTTCTCCCTCTCCCACTCCCCCTGCTTGTGTTCCCTCTCTTGCTGTGTCTCTCTCCATGAAATAAAATAAAATCTTTCAAATAAATAAATAAATAAAACGCAGTTTCAGAGGCACCTGGGTGGCTCAGTCGGTTAAGCGTCTGCCTTCCACTCAGGTCATGATCCCAGGGTCTGGGGACTGAGTCCTGCATTGTGCTCCCTGCTCAATGGGGAACCTGCTTCTCCCTCTCCCTCTGCTTGCCTCTCCCCCTGCTTGTGTGCGCACGTGTTTTCTGTCAAATAAATAAATAAAATCTTTAGAAATAAATAAATGAAACTCAGTTTCACTGTTTTTCCAAGTATGTTAATTCTTAAACAATGCTTGTATTATATTTACAAGAATGAGTGTCTATAGACACTTCACACTTCTACTAGACAAGTATGATACTTCTGAACTATTACTATTTACTAAAATATAAGCCTCTGAAGAATGCCTAGAATTGCTGTTACTTAGGATAACAATCCCTCATTATCTTGCACTTGGAAGATGTTGATGAGGAATGATAATGACAGGATTATAAGTACACCATCCTCCCTGAGAACAAATTCACTACATCCCATTTTCTACAAAAGACAAATGAGGATCATTACAAAAAGATTCACAATGGATCTCTTTGGACTCCCAGTTCTCCTGGGAGAACTTGAAATATTATTCAAAGTGCACAAAATTACCTTACATACACTTAGGGAAAACAAACGGAGAAAATGACTTGTGAGTATATTTAATATCTGTCCAGCCACCAGAGTTCTTGACATATGTCCAACATATAGGGCTGGTCCTCAAGGTCATTCTTATTGTAATCAGTTGAAATTAAACCCAGTTTTCCACTGTAAACTCAGAAAGCAATCTGGTGATTTTGCTAGATAAAGCCACAACGTTTCCCGTTTCTGAAATGTATGTTTGACACCCTAAAAACTGGTTTAAGTGCCTGATAGACATCAATGGTGTGCTATACTCCCCCTGTTGGCTGATACTCAAAATAACAATGGATTCCCCAGGGGTTGCCTTTGAAGGGCTGGGGTTCAAAAGTAAGTTGGTGATTTTTGTATTTAAAAACATGAGCTGGATCAACAGTTGTTAAGCAAAGCTGCCATATAATGGTCCGATTCCATCAAAACAGGAAAAATTAAAGTTGACAAATGACAAAGACAAACTGAAGGGCTGAAAATATGCTGAAGCCTTGAAACACTAAACAATGCAGAATTAAAAGCCAAAAGCAGAGAACACCAAGAAACAGAGCAACATCCTTTAACTGACACAATGGCATGAAATCAATTTCATTTTAATAGCCCTTAAGGGGGTAAGAATTATTTCCCTGCCTCCTGTGCCAACCCCAAGCTGTTTCCTAAGGAAGCCAAGTAACTCTGACGATGTGTAGAGAATAAAAGAAATTAAGAATAAAGATTCATATTAATACCAATCAGGGTTCTGTTTTTAATTACTTGGATCCAGTTTCAGAGCTGTAATGCAGCACCCCAATAAGTACATCACCTAAATTAATTACAGATACCTTATTCCTGTTTCAAGGGATATGTCCAACTAAAATGGGAAGCTGAACAACAGCAGAAGACCCTGGGCTCACTGCACACAAATCTGGCTGCACCTCCTGCACTCGGTGACTAAGCTAGCTCTGAAGCCAGAACAGAAAGTTATGTTGCTAGAGCAAGTAACTAACCTCTATAGTCTCATCTGTGAAATGGGGCTAATAGTGTTTTAACCACAGAGTGGGTGTGAGGTTTAAGTGGTCCGCAAGGCATATAGGAGAGTGACACAGTTTGGGCTCAGTAAACGTTAGCTATTATTACTCAAGAAAAATAGCTGATTTCACAGTGAAATAACCGTTGGCAGCCTTAAAGTACCATTTCAGGAAAATTAAAAGGTCTTGACATGTGCTTCGTTACTTATAGACTTCTTTCCACCCAAACCGCTCACTTTTCTTCTAAGGGAGATGTTCAGAAAACGCATGGTTCCCCATCTCAGGCTGTCACTCTACCATCCTTTACCCTCTTTGCTCTTTTCCCATCACCTCTGGGCTCAGGACAAGCTGCTCTAACACTCGTGTAGCGCTTGCTCGGTGCCAGGCACTGTTCTAGTTACTTCACATATTAATATATTCAATTCATTCAATTTTCACAGTGACTTTATGAGACCCATTATTATTCCCATTTCACAGCTAAGGAAATGAGCGATTTTCTTCTCTCAGCTCTTTTAGTACACACTAAATCCATTAAGTTCCACGGTGCCAAGGTAATTCACGCTTGACAACGCCGGCTCCCTACCCTACGTGATTCTGGAAAGTGGGCAAATGCCCTAATAATAACAAGTCTGCAAGCAGATTCTTCTAGCAACAGCCCAAGATTTCCAGTTTGTTCTAATCAAATGAACATGCTAAGAGAAGCCTTCAAACTGACCTGGGTAAGGGGCTAATCTGTTAACGGGGAGCGCTCTCTGCGGGGCTCCGGGCGGCAGCGATCCGCGCCGCCAGCACAACACCCGGAGGGCGCCCGCTGCGGGGAGCGCAGCTCCCGTCGGTGCGCGAGTCCCAGGGCGCAGCCTCCGCAACGGCAAATGAGTGCAAACCCACAACAAGCCTTTCCCACCGACGCTGTCACGCGCCCAGATGGAAGTGGCCCGCGCGCCCCGCGGGGGTCGGAAGAAACCGCGGGGAGGAAGAGCGAGGACAGGCGTGGAGGAGGAGGCGTCTTCCCCAGGACAGCGCATCGCCCCGAGCGCTGCCCACCCGACCCAGGACGGCCGCTCCCCACGCACCGCGGGCCACGGGTCCTGGCTCCTCCGAGCGTAAACACTGCTGGACCAACACGGCCCTCCCAAGCCCGGGGGTCCGGGCGGCCGGTGCGACCCCGGCCGCGAACAGGCACGGAGCCTCGCGCAGCGCCCACAGGCACCGCGCAGCCTGCAGAGCCCGCGGCCGGAACGCGCGCAGGGCTAGTGGCGCGGCCGGGGGCGTCCCGGCGCGGGCTGCAGCGCCGCGGGGCCGGGCCCGCACGTACCTCGGAGGCGGTGTGTCAAGCGGCGATCCACCCGCCGCAAGTTGGAGGAACGTTTCCCCGCCCAGCGCTCGGCGGCCGCGAGCTCCGGCAGCTGCTGCGCCGCGGCACAACTACGCCATCCGGACCCGCCGGGACTTTCACCTCCTGCAGGGAGCGCCAGGAATCGCCCAGGGAAAGTGGCCGGGCACGAGAGCCGCCGATTTCCCTCTCTCACTCACTGGGAAGAGGAAAGCGCCGCTCGGCGTCCCCGAAACCCTCGATTACCCCCATCGGGCCGACGCAGCGCACTCGCTCTCCCTCACACACACACGCGGGCGGGGACGGGCAGGGCGCCACAGCAATCAGCGCGCGGGGGGAAGGGCGCTCCGCCGCCGCCGCCCCACCGAGGGCTCCGCGCGGCGGAGAAACTCCTCCTCCCGCCGCCCGCCTCCTCTCTCCTCCCCCTTTTCCTCCCCTGCTGATGGATGAGTCCCGAGCGCCGCTGGAGCCAGCGTTTCCCTCCGGGCTGAGGAGGGAGGGAGAGAAGGAGCACGGAGAACTGCGGGGCTGCTGCGCGCCCGAGGGGGGGCGGCGAGTGGGTGTCTCAGGCCTGGGGGCGGTGGGGACGCGGACGCCAGCTGCACGGATCCGCTCCCTCAAACTGCGTCCTTGAACTTTCCAGGTCTCTGGAGGCGTTGGGTTTTTATTTGGTTTACCTCAGTCTTGATAATAAAAATTCTAAATCCTCCAGTAAACTGATCACACCCTCTTGCCCACTCCTTAGCAAAGCCCCCCCACACACACACACACATACACACACCTGTACACATTCATCCTGTCCCTGTTTGTCTTTCCCACCCCTAATCCTGCTTATCTCAAGATGCACTCTGATGGTGGGCGTCAGTGGGGTCTTGCCTCCTCCTCTCACAGCGGAGAACGCCTTCCCCAGCCCTTCTCCCTGCTCGCTAAATAAATTAATACAAATAAAGGAGCTAGGTCAGCTTTACCGGCGTTACCCTAACTTCGGCGCGACGGAAACGAGGGTGCAACTTCTGCGTACCTACCTGTGCCTGTGAACTGCCCATTGGACGAGTGACGAATGCAGTAAGCAGAACGCCACTCTGATACTCGTGCTTACACCTCGTTTTTCTATTAAACGACATCCTTAAGTCACAGGACACTGTTTTACCAACGGGCTGGTGAAATGATCATGTGCTGAGAGATTTCTGAGACTGGACTTCCAGTTGGACAAACAACTTAAACTCTCCGAGGCTGTTTTCTCCTCTGTAGAGCGAGGAACTTGGCCTAGGAGACCTCTCCCAGCTTTAAAGTCCTAGGCCCTTAATATACTGGAATGGAATAGAGAGGTTTCTTATACTATTGCTTATATTATTAGTTGGAAAGTTACTCCATTTCCCCACTTTGAGAAAAGAAGTATTTCTTACCCTCTTTCCCTTGTACCTATACAGAGGGAATCCAGGAGATACTTTCATAAAGGTCAAATCATCTTTGATTACCTGGCTTACTTTAAAAACCTCCTCAATGGACCATTCCTTCCTTACCAATATTTATTGAGCACCTACTGCTTGAGAGGGTTGAACTAGGCCTTGGAGATATACATAGCCATGATACCCTGAAGGCAAAGCAGTCTAGGTGAAGTTAGCCTCAGCTTTGATATAGTCTCTCTAGACTTAAGGCCTTAGATTTCTCATAGACTCAAATTACATAGTATTCATGCCTCACACGGTCAAATTTTAGTTTCAAGCGCAGACATGAACACTTGAATTGGGTGTGAATATCTAATCCTACATTTAAACGTATCAATCATGTTACGACTTTCTAATTTCTTTTTTTTTCAAGTTTTTTTTTTAAAGATTTTATTTATTTATTTATTTGAGAGAGAGAGAAACAGCATGAGAGGGGAGAGGGTCAGAGGGAGAAGCAGGCTGCCCGCTGAGCTGGGAGCCTGATGTGGGACTCGATCCCAGGACTCTGGGATCATGACCTGAGCCGAAGGCAGTTGCTTAACCAACTGAGCCACCCAGGCGCCCCTCAAGTTTTTTTTTTAAAGTAAACTCTACCCTAACTCTACACAACTTTGAGATCTCATGCTCTACTGACTGAGCCAGCCAAGCATCCCAAGGCTTTCTAATTTCTAAATAAAATGGCATGGTAGAAGAAGAGAGAGAGAAAAACCAAGTCCTAAGTAACTTAATTCTTAGTAGTGTCTTGCCTTTGAAGAGTGAAATGACTGTTCACAATGGAGCCAGATGCTCAATAATGTAACTATCAACATCTATTGAACAATTACTCTGTGCCAAGCAGAGTCCAAAACATTCTATACATGTGAATATATTTACTCCTCACAGCTCTATAAGGCTATATGCAAACTGAGGCCCATGTACAAACCTACATATATGCTAAGGCCTTATAACTTGTCACAATAGCATAGCTAATAAGTGGGAGGTCCAGGATTCAAACCCACATCCATCTAGTTCTGAGCCCAAGTCTTCAACCAGCAGAGCATACTGCTCCCGAAAGCTTTACATATTGGCAAAATGAAAAGTTTGAGGGATTTGGGGCTGGTTGGGTTCTGGTGTGTGTGTGTGTGTGTGTGTGTGTGTGTGTGTTGTTTTTTGGGTTTGTTTGGTTTTATTTTGGGGGGCAAACATCTTTAAAATTCAGGGTTATTTAATTAGTTCAGCAGTTTAAATAGATGATATGGAAAAACACAAGAAATTATATAGGTAGTTACAAAACTGACAATGTCTAGAGGTATTTTCTCTTCAAATCTTTACAGTAATAATGTGATATTATTTTCATAAATCCAGAAACCAGAGGGGCGCCTGGGTGGCTCAGTTGGTTAAGCGACTGCCTTCAGCTCAGGTCATGATCCCAGGGTCCTGGGATCGAGTCCCGCATCGGGCTCCCTGCGGAGCAGGGAGCCTGCTTCTCCCTCTCCCACTCCCCCTGCTTGTGTTCCCCCTCTCGCTGTGTCTCTCTCTGTCAAATAAATAAATAAAATCTTTAAAAAAAAAAAATCCAGAAACCAGAAACATTGAGCAAATAAACATTTTAAAATAAACATTTTTGGTTCCCCAGCAAAGTTCTAAAAAAATGATTCCCCTACCTTTTATTAAGGGCAATATTAACTGATTTGGGAGGAATGAATCCTCTCCTTTCATTGGTTATGAATTAGGACTGCTTCCAAGTTATAGTATTTGTCACCATAATATACAAGATTCCTTTGGTCCAAGGTGGTGTCTTGCTCATTTTTTCTGAAATTTTTCAGAAAGAATTATAAGCAGAGGGCTGAAATAAAGAGGTGCACTTTATCACACTTGGAAAAAAATGTGTGATAGCCAGAGTCTCAGTAATTTACTGAGGCTGTGTTTCTCACAAGGAACCTCCCCTCCTACAGGTGCAGAACTGTTCATTTTATGAGGACTCATATTTAGTGACCTATCTCCAGATACTGTTGATTAGCAGACAACTGAACAAATTCATACTAACCTGTTTATGTTCCTTACAGAAGCAAACACCTCAAATTTCTGAAAAACTGTATCATTAGAAAATCATTTGGTTTTTCTTTTTTAACAGGTCCTCATATAGTACTTCGCACATGCTTTGCACTTGACAAAGTCTAACTCACTAAATCCTTATAATAGCTCTAGTATCCTCATTTCACAGATTAGAAAACATGAAAAGAGAACTCAAGTAACTTGTCCAAAGTCACACAACCAGCAAGTGGCAGAGCCAGGTCCCCTGGCCCCACAGTCTGCTCTGAACGTCCACTTTGGGCTGCAACAGGTCAAAGACAGCCTCCTTCCATGCATAGAGAGAGTCTTATTTCTTTAGGCTCAATTCTTTAAAAGTTTCAAAAGATAAAAACAAAAGTTTGTGTAGGAGAAATATTACCCACTACCACCACATAAAAATAGATTACTTTCACCCAGTAAAGGGGAGAAGGGACCTAACTTTAAAGGTTGTCTGAAACAGCCAACATCTTGGAGGCAACTGCATAACTATTCTTAAGAATGTGTGACAGAACATGAACCAAATGTTCCATAGTGTTGTGACAGGATACTGGTCTACGAACGACAATATGTGCTCCTATTTTCTCCTTGGTTGACTATTACTACAGACAGATTTACTACTTTATTTCTAAAAATCGCCTATAAAGATTCCAATTCATACCTACAGGTGTTTTCTATAGCAACATAATCTAAAGCCACATTTTCTATATCTATACCCAAGATTAGAATTTGGTTTTCGCTGGCGAAATTTGTGGCTGGCCAATTTCAAATTAATGAGGAAAACGTACTGTCAGATGAACCTGCATGCAGAGCAGAGCCCAAAACAGACACCTGATTCAGGCCTGAGGGATGCCTCAGAGAATTTAGAAATAAAAATCCAAAGCAAATTCCCTTAGAGTAACCACAGAGTTCCTGCAAACTTATCATTTCCTGTGCTGGTGCAGGAACCTCCAATGGAGGCTTCCACAATGCACCTTCAATTTCCCCCTCGGTAGGGCTTCTGACAAAGCAGGAAACCTCACACCATTTCAAAGTAACAGCACCCCCCCCCCCAAGATCCCTGTGGTCTTAGCTCCGTAGGGGATGTGGCAGACTGCCTGCTCCCCCTGTCTCAGGGAGCAGGGATTTCAGAGGGAAGACTTCACCCTGGCCCCCACCTCCATGGCTGCCCTGTGGAGAACTTTTGTTTTAGCCTGGAGAAGGAAAAAAAAAAAAAAAAAACCAGGACATGTTATTTTATGTGGGAAACCAAAAAAAGACAAGGAGCACCCAGGACATATATTAGTATCTGTGAATATTACAAATTTCATCACCTTCATTTTGACAAATACAAGAAACTACTAAAAATACCCAAATTTTTTTAAATACCCAAATTTTAAAATTATTATTGCTATTGTTATTGACCTTCTGTTATTACTGCTGTTATTATTGAGCACTTACTCTGTGGAAGGCCTTGATTTAAGTTTGGCCTTATAAAATTCATTTCCAAACATATTTTGAAAATGGATATTTCCATGTATTCATTACAAAATTACTTGTTATACATTTTTTTAGGTCACTCACTATTCTTTTAATATGTAATCTAAGCAGGAGAGTTTCTCAACTGGGTTCTGCAGACACATTCTTTTGATTTCAGTAATGAGTTCAAGAAGAAGTTTGTTTTCATTTTGTATTTTTGTTTTAATGATAATGACTTTAGTTTTCTTAAGTCAGTGTTTTTCAAAGTGGGAAACTTATTCCCAGAGGTACCTGAGAATTTTTTCTTTAAAAAGAGTCTTTACATTGTTAACATTTGAGAAATGTG